CCCCCCAAAAAAAAAAAAAAAAAATCTTTGAATCCAGTCGTCAATAGCTCATTGACTCAAGTACTCTCAGCATAAACAATGTATAATTGTAAATTCATCAATCATACTCGTGGCGAACATGCTTTGCAGATGAGGTACTTGTATGGAGGTACTTGTTTGATGGAAAAGTGTAATCTTAGGACCGAATGAGAAAACATCCAAACTATGAGAAGTCTCACGAAATCTATACGACGTGTTTAACAACTCACATGTTCCATTACTATTTCCTTGGGCTTTGGTGTAGGCCGGGCCTTTGCCCTTCGGGCCTGCATCAAGACGTCTAGGGGTGAGCACGGTTCGGTTCGGGTCGGTTTTTACCAAAATTTGAACAACCGAACCGAACCACCTACAATTCAAAACCGAACCGAACCATTACAAATCGGTTCGGTGCGGTTCGGTTCGGTTTGTTCGGTTCTAACTTCATCAAGTATAACTTCACTTCAATTTATCTTTTATATATTATTATTACCCTATGCCAACATGTATTTGTTTTTAAACTTCACTTTAATTTATTATTCTTGCTCATGTATGTATACTGTTTTTAAGTGAAGTAACTTGTCCTTTTGGATTAAATACTAGACTCTAACGTTGTAATTTTTTAGTAACGGACTTGCTTTGTCTTTGTGTAGCAAGCTTTGAGTTTGGTCTTTGTGGAGAAAAAAAAGGAGCTGACTCATTAGAACATTGGTTATGTATGAATCAATTCCCTACAACTGCTATTCATGGTGATCGAACACAGTAATAAACCCACAAATCAAAGGCACAAATATATTCGGTTGGTTCGGTTCGGGTTGGTTTGAAAAATTGTCAACCCGACCCGAACCGCCTTACTCATAAAACCGTTTTTTTCGGGTCGGTTCGGGTCGGTTCGGTCGGTTTTTTCGGTTTGAACCGAACCGTGCTCACCCCTAAAGACGTCTTAACAGTAATATAGATTTACCATTAGCCACATTACATCTAGCACGTTGACCAAGCATGGGTTCGGTCAAGATGCCCGATTTTAAGAAATCCTCCTAGGATTTTGGTTTTAACCGATTTTCAAATCACATGTTTGTTTCGTTTTGTGATTTAAAAAAATGAGGGTGTCATGCTAGATTTTTGAGAAAAGTGTTTTCACATCAAAAACTTCTGAAAACATTTGGAAATATCGCTTCAATGAATTTTTAATTATTAAAAGCAATGTTGAAACAATGACGATGAATAAAACAGATTATTTAATTCCTGGAAACACGGTTACTATTGCGGCTGATTTCCATTTTCTTTTTTTATATTTAAACAAAAACAAGAAATGAAAATCGAAATACTGTTACTATTACGGCTAGATTTGTTTCTTATGTGACATGTCGGTGACGTGACGGTGATTACATTGCGAAACAAACAAAAAAAATGCAGGAAATATCTTGAAATCTCTTGAAATGAGTTGAAATGTGAGTTTTCCATTTCAGATTTTTTTTCAGAAAACAACCAAACAGAAAAGTGAAAAACCAATCGTATAATTCCACAGCAATCCGGTTTATGCTCTAGGCGTGCAATTTCCACAAAAAACGCGTGCTGTATTTCACTGAAAATTCTCTCATGAGAAGCCTTCCATTTTCAGTCACGTGATAATGAGTCATATAATTGCACCCATCCATACATGGTGCGCGAGCCCAGGTGCCCAATCTCATGATTTTCTTATCATTTTTAAAGGTCTTTTTTGCCTATGAACCCCAAAATTAACAATATTTGCATGTTTTGCATACTTGCTAATTTGCTCCCACATTCTCCTACAGTATATTTTTATCCTCATATCGTCTAGCATTAATAACATTCATAATACAAAGCATTATGCATATTAGGTGATGTAATTTGTTTTTTTTTTCTAATGGGAGCTTATGAGCATTAGTTTGGAGGACGAGAATGATATAATGTGGCGAAAAAGAGAGTGCAAATCAGGGGAATCCACTCGTTATGTATTGTCCCTCTCATTTGTTAACGAGTGTCCATGGACACATGATTAAAAAAAACCGTATCAAGAAGTAGGGGTAGCGGATATTCAGAATCATGTTCAATTTGCAAATAAATTAGATTTATAAGGTTGGATTTAGTGTTGGATTTTTTGGTCAAAATCGCTTTTCAAAATAAGTTTTCAAACTATATATATATTAACTACAAGTACTTTTCATAAATGCTTAGTAGCTTAGTGGAAAGTTAAAGTTTTGGTGTTTCAAAAGGTTCTCTGTTCGAGGCTTATCAACGGCAAGCCAAGAAGTGTTTTATTTTAATTAATCTCTCATAAGTTCTAATGGGCTGTGGGCTCGGCACGGGCCAATGAGTCGTAAGCCAATGGGCCGAAGATTGGGGCTAATCGGGCTGAAGCGTTAAGTGACGCTTTATTAGGCGCACTTTGCACTTCGCACGGAGGCATCGGGGCTAGGTAGCGCCACGTTGGCTGCTTCGTATCATGCGGGCGAGATACGCATTCGCACGATGACATGATCCTATCTGCGTTTTCAAGATCAAATGATGCTCCTCTGTTTGACGAGGTTCGATTCGCTCGTTCGATGAGGTTCGCCTGTTTGACGAGGTTCGCCCGTTCGACGAGGTTCGTCCTACAGACGATGTTCGTCTGATTTGCTGAGACGTGACCCTTGCGTTTCGTAGTAACGCGTTCATTGATTGCCTCGTATTCAGGAGTTAATGCATGAAGCAGTTACGACAATATTTACATCAATTTAATGGATTGTTGTTACAATCATAATTTCCATTATGATTTGTATCAACCACATTAATTAAGGGTGACTCTTGAGCTGGCCTTAGAGACCTATAAATAGCGCCCCTTAGACAGCTCTTGAAGAGAACCAAAAAAACGAACGTTGGATCGATGAGATCTTGACGTTGTGGCTGCTGTTTGTGCTGCTACTGCAGAAACTATACCCGAAGGAACTTGCCTTGAAACCGAAAGGTTCTGAGATCGATGAGATCTTTGCCTTGACCGAAATATCTTATAGATCAAAGAGATCTTGAAAGTACTGAGTTGGTGCACACCAGAGTACTGTACTGCTGTTCCTGAAAGCAGTGTGGTCTTAGGATCTTTACACCGGAATAGACCAAATATTGTTTTAAACATAACATTTTACAAACGCACAATAGTTAATTTAAAACAATTTAAAATAACAATAAATTAATTTTTACTATTTTATTCCAGATTTATCCACCATCTCCCATCATTTTAAGGGAAAAAAAGAAGCGAGCCGAACAGAACCAAGGGGCTTAAAAAACGAAAACACTTGCATCTCCCCTCTCTCTCTACTATATATCTCCATAGAGTGGGACAACTTTCTCTCTCCAGTGTTGCTTTCTTGTGCTTGTATATATAAAACTAATTCAAAACCCCCAAAAATTCCCCCATTTCGCCCTAATTCTTAAATTATTACCCTTTTGCGCCCCCCCTCTCCTCTCTCTCTCTCTTCCCCTTCGCAATATGAGCGGGTCTTCTTCTTCTTCTTCTAGGGTTTCGATCCCCAACAGCCTTCGCAAGACGATCCAGAACTTGAAGGAGATCGCCAAGAATCACAGCGACGATGAGATTTACGCAATGCTCAGGGAGTGCTCCATGGATCCCAACGAGACCGCTCAAAAACTCCTCCTCCAAGGTCAAAATCAAACCCTTTTCATTGTTTTCGCTATTGCTAGTACGATCGATTGATTTGGATTTTAGGGCTTAAAGATCGAGTCTTGAGGTGATGGGCTTTTAGGGTTTATGCTGCTGGTATTAGATCCGTTTGATTTTTGATCTTTTCCTTAGATTTAGACCTAGATTTATGTGTTTCTGTTAGTATGTTTGATATATTACTCAGACCTTAAGTTTATTATTTAATCATCTCAGCTGTGATAGGGTCGCAATGATCTCAAAATCAAAATGTGTTTTTGATACTCCCAAGTGTTTCACTTCTTGATCTCCTGGCTTTTGACTGGTTTTTCTGTTTTGTTAGTTTGTGGCGTATTGCTATGTTATTAGCCTGTAACTAGCTTACACCTTTTTATCTGAAGAAATCAATTTTGTGATGAAATAGTCCGTATGTATAATGTTTTTCGTGTAAGAGTAAGATATATATTTTCATAAGAACTCCCTTGTACTTAATTTATATGGCCCATCATTTCTGATTAGAGGGCTACACATCTCATGTTTTTGTTCATGTTGCATAGTCATATGTTGGGCTTTGGTAGGTTTCCTTGTTAACACATTAGCTCAATATGTGGTTGATGATTTCTTTACTGCTGTTTGTTTTCATTTGAAATAGGATAATTCTATTATTATGGATGAGACGATCTCTTGTTCCATAATATTTCTTGTTCTATTTTCTTTTCACAACAATGACTTACAGAAACAACTAATTTCATACTGACTGCATGTCAATCTAGTTTCTATGGCCAATAGCTCATATGCACTTTTAATGAATGGTGCCATTTGGGTGAGATTCTGCGATTTTAACCCAAAGTATGTCTTCTTCCATTGTGATTGGGTGTCCAAAGTTGAGTCTGAATTGCCATTTTCTTGATGCTTTTCGCTCATCGTGTTATATCTATTTTTTCTGTCTTTCCTTCTCAGTTGGCTTACATGTCTTCAGGGCCACATTATTTTACCACTACGTGAAAAATCCTATGGAAATGCTTTTTTGTTCCACTGTTTCACAAGAGTTTCATTATGTAACCATCTTCTTGTTGATTTTGTTTTCCCCACTCTTTTATTTGATGGGATCTATCCATTGTTTTAAAAGCGGTCTGCGGCCCACCTAGGCAACAACTTCTGCCTACGCGGTACCTATGCAACCCGCTCAAGTGTTTGGGGCACCTAGGCAAGCATGAGCCACTTATGCAGACCACAACACATCAAAATGGGATAAATTGCCTGCTTGAGCATAGTAATGGATAAAGAGAAGGGGTCAGGTCAAAATGGATGAGATCAAGACTCGATATCCAAGTACACTTAGGGGCTGTTTGGTTGCTTTCCTTCATTTTCCAAAAATAATTTTCCTTCACTTTTTTGTGTTTCCTTCACTTTCATGGAAAGTGTTTCTTGTGTTTGTTTCGCCAAAAAATATGGGGTGAATGTACTTTCCACCATTTTTCTTAGTTTGGTTCAACTTGAAAAAAGAAGAAAACAATTGATGTGTAAATAGATTCCCTCATTTTCTAGTGTTTGGTTCAAATGAAAAAAAGAAGAAATCATGATTCATGACTATGGTCACCATGGTGTGCTTACCACCCTTATAGCATAAATTTATTTCTAACATAAATTGAGAGGTGAACATATATAAATCGTCACATAAAAATATTAATCCCGAACATAATATTAATTTGAGGAACTAATTTTAAAATTAAGGACATAAGATTAACCCCGAACATAAAAACTTTATTAATGAATTGTTATAAGCCACAAACACATTCATACCACATTGATTTTTGCATATGTAAAGAAAAGAGCATCATCATAGCCATGTCATGTAACCAAGAACAAATAATTGTTATAAGCCACAAACACACCACATTTGTTCAAGCATGAGATGCCCAAAAATTGCGTAAGTCAATATTTTCCACTGAAATCACAGAAATGGAGAATTGGAGAAGTAAACAAACCTGTACATGACATTCATCAAAAAATAAGAGCTTTATCTTCTCTAGCTTGAAAAAACGATGACGCAAGTTGTCAACCAGAATTTGAGGAGTCATGACAAAGACCTGCACGAAATGCTCTTCATATGAGAAGAGATGACCCCTTGATCCCCTAGAATTTAAATAAATATAATTGGTAGTAACCACAGATAGATAGACCCAGCTATGATAATGGCATCAGATATTCATCTCTAAAAAAGATAAGATTTTTTGAAAAAATTTCAGCATGGATTTTACCTACGCATCAAGTTACTGAACAAACTAAACATTTTATGTCATTTTACCATAGGAAATTAAAACGAACCTCGTATAGTTGCAGTTGCTGCTTCCAAGTATCAGCACTCCAGAAATCAACCCCCATCTCCTCGTAGAACTATCCCACTTTCAAATTCGTGTGCATCTCTATAACTCTCGCTTTCTAAAAATAAAAAAAATCAATCAATAAATAAAAATTACCATCATCAGCTCCAAGACAACAAAAGCAGAGGATCAAATTAGTTATTTGGGTGACCAGGACGACGGTGGGGAAGAGGAAGATGGCGATGGAATCAGAGGGCTTGCGGACGGTGTCGGAGAAGGCGCGGAGCAGCATGACAGCGATTAGGGTTTTGTCGGAGCCGGTCTCGAGGAAGGCGATGGTGTTGCGCTCGATCGCCATCTCCAGCGCCTCAAGCTGGTAGCTGCGCGCGAATGATTGCGGATCGACTGGAGGAGGATCGTCGGTGTCAGTCGTCGCCGCATCTTGAAGGAGCTTCGGGTGCTTCGACTATTGATCGTCGTAGGATAGCAGAAGGAGGGAGAAATGAGAGGGAGAAGGAGTGGTAATTGTAAACCCTAGGTGAAACGAGAGATTTGTGTGAAAGTGTACGGACGCCCCCCTTTTCTCCCTTTTCGGCCGATTTCAGGCTTTTTATGAAGGAAACCAGAATCCTTCAAAGCTGAGCTGTCAACCTCCTTTTTCTTCTCTTTCCTTTTTCTATTTTGACCATCCAAACATCCGAATGTAAAGAAAACTGACAATTTTTCCCATGTCAGATTTCTTTTGGGGTCTTTTCTGTATTTGTTTGACCAAACAAACAGACCCTTAGGTAAAATGGCAAGGGTCTTTTGAATCTTCAAAAAGAATCCTCCCTCACTCGTTGCTAAATGAAGACCTGTGTGCCGCTTAAGCACCCGACTAGGCGCGGGGCTCTAGGTCCGATGCCCAAAAGCATTTAACGCTTTTTAGAATATTGGATTTACCCTAATGCATGGGAAATTTCGTGACTATAAGCCTATAAGGTAATAAGTGCTTAAAAACAACAATTAGTTTGAATTGATTTGTTGTAAATAATCCGTCATGTTCAGTATCTTGAGTTGATTTATTGAAGTATGTTAATTGGCTAAAAGTTGTCAGCAATTTTACCACAGCTGTTTGCCTGATTACTGCACTTATTAATGTTTCCAGAGCTAATTGATTCCGTTCTCATGTACTGGAACTTTACATACTTAGTTACAACATGGTGATAGTAGGTCTATTAACTTACTCTCTCTACCTTGTCAAAAATGGTAGCGGAATATATGGTGTCAGCTTGTTGCTGCATGATAGACAAGTTCACCCTTTGTTCTATTATGTTCACATATATATTTTGAGTGATTGGGTATTGCACATGGTTAGGCTTATCCACACGGTTAAATTATCCAATTTCCAGTGTTTTTTTTCTTTCTTGTATCTGGGAATTTACAATTTAAGTAGGAATTTCGGAAGCATGAAATCTGTACTTAGACATCTGTTTTAAATTTTTATTCCACAATTTTTAGTTTACTCTACCAATTGACTGTGTTTCAGATCCGTTTCATGAGGTGAAAAGGAAGCGTGACAAGAAAAAAGAGGTAATACTCTTTTCTACTACTCTCATATGTCGAACAGTCGAAAGCTCAAACTTCTTTTTTATTTATTTTATATCATATGAAAACTTCCAGAAAAATCAGTTCTAGGTTGTCAGTAACAATATGTGAAAACACCATAATTTTACAGAAGTTATGGGTTAGTTTACTGTTTATAACTGATGTTCAATCCATGTTGAATGAGAAGTAACCTTATATTCATTTAAATTTAAGATATTTATGATCTATGATTAATTATGGGCCGTATCCTTGGTTCTCCATGACTAGTAGCTATCATGGTTTTCACATGCTGCCATCCTTCGGGAGGTTTCTTTGTAGTAGCTGGACAGCATATAAGGTTTGAACTATCATTACTTGCTTATGTTTGTAAGAATACTGTTCTCCAAATTGTCTTCCAACTTTAATCAGAAGAATTAAGATAGGCCTATCTAATGTGTTTTGTGGTCAAACTTAGAAAGAATACCAAGTGAGGCTTGAGAAAATAAGAATAACATGAAGAGCTTCTGTGTAGTACACAAATTCTTTTCAAGTTTTCGATTAATATTTGACTTAAGGAAACTGTAACAATTGATATTTTCGTGCGATTGCTCGTACTGGACAACAAAATAGAGGAAACAATTAGCACACAAGAGTTGTTATGTGCCTTTTGTTGTTTAATGGACTTAATCTTGTTAGAACAGATTTTTTTTTGTACTCATTGGCCTTTACCCTAATTATTTATTATTTGATGTGAACTCGTCTTGCACTTATCGTTTGTTTGGGAATTGCGATGTGCATGCACATGATGATTAGTTTTATGCTCTCTTCCCCTTGTTTAACTTTTTTTGGTTAACTATTCTATATCTCAACAGATCACCAAAGAACCAGTTGATGCTAGGTGGAAGCCAGTATCACAGGGGAGAGTGGGCCGGGGTGGTCGGGGGAACTATTCATCGCGTTATACATCTCATGGTATGGGTTCAATTCTTAGTACAAAGGTTGATGTTTTGTTTGATGGTTGAGCAAGTAGGTACATTCTGATCATGATTACTCCCTCTTTAAGAATAATAATTATTTGTCGATATAGTTAATTATGGTTTAATTTGATTTAATAAATTTTTTGAGGATAGAATATTTATTCATAAGTCAACTGTAATTAATTACTTGTCATTTCTAATGAAGTAGGGATTAATAATTAACTATTCAACTCCACTTAATCAACTTTACTTAATTCATAAAAAATCTGAAAGAAAGTTGGGAACACAATTTTCAGTAACCAATATATTATATAACAAATATATTTATATTTAAATGGCAAATTTTCACACCTGTTTTCCAACTGAAGACACCAGTATATTTAGTTCATGATACAAGATTACAAATATTTGCCATGCAAATTAGGTAGTTTCTTTTTGTTTTGTTAATAAAATACTAATGCATTTCTCTTTTTCTCTTTGGTTAGATGCTGGTGGTGAAAGGAGCATTGGCAAGGAAAATGGAACACAACAGTCTACAGATAAAGTCATTACATCTTCATCCTTGCCCCCTTCGCAGGATGTGGAAACCAAGTCAAGTGTTCACGCATCAGGGTAAGTCTGTTGCTTTGCCTGTAATTTTGAGTTTTCTTTGCCTTTTAGCTGGTTATATAGTTCTCATGTAGATATACCAGGCAACCTTGGTTTGTTCACTTCACTGGTTTCTTCAATGCTAGAAGTGGTTCATTTTTTCCCCAACTTGCTGTTGAGTGAAAACGGTCTTAGGTTTATAAGATTATCAATTTTCAGTAAGCTTCACAGTTTTTATACAATGTAATTTCATGATTGGTCTTCCCAAAAGTTAATGCATCTATGATGACAAGTGAAACAAAATTAGACCTTTGTTGGATCAATTTAAGTTTTTATTTCTTTCAAAAATATGCATAGATATTATCGTGTACAACTATAGAAAGCTTCCTTGATATATTCAGTAAGTGAATCTACCTTGCTTTGGTTTTCTTTTTTTTATTTTAATTTATAATACAATGGTCGTTTCATAAAAGAAGAGGGCCTTGTAGTTCTTTCAGTTGTATATATCTGATGGCTTCATAATTATTTTTTAGTTCCAAACACAAACAGATGCCTTTTTTTCATTTTGGGAGGAAAACCAGGAATGCTCACTAATTTTAGTGCCTATTTTTTATATTCATTAGGTATTATTGCCGTTTTCTTCTTTGTGATTGTACAATTTGAAAATAAACTAACTGTTAGTCATTTGTTTTATAATGCTGTGCAACTAGATGAACATTCAGCGTTTGTACTCTGCACTTGTTGTATTCTTCCTCTCACACGCATGCACATTCAGGCACTCACATCCTTATGTGCACACATATTTCTAACTGTGTGACTTTTGCATATTGCCCTTTTGCAGTTCTGAATCTGGGCGTCCCGATGGTCCTGCTAAAGATGAGAACCCAGTTCCAGTGCAGGTGTCCACATCCAAAAATTCTAGTGTTGGTGAAGCCAGCTCACTCAAACGAACTTCCGCAGCCACATTAACTAGTAAGATTGGGAAACCATCAAGAGTTGGTGCCAAAAGTCCTGTGCCTCTGCATCATGTGTCGGGTTCTGTCAATCACTTTTTATCATCCCCAAAACAAGCATCTGGTTCTGGAGTATATTCCTCACCTTCCGACCCTGTTCTAGTACCTTCTCTTGATGCACGTGTCCCAGGCAGTGTGGGTACCATCAAACGCGAAGTTGGAAGCCAGCGGATATCTGTTGAAGCAGCAGTTGACAAAGTTGTTTCTCGTGATGTGTCTGGTTTGGAATTTTCATCCTTGACTGAAACAGATTCATCTGAAGTGAACAATTCACATGCACATGAAAAAATGCAAGGAAAATCTCAAGAGTTTGATGGGAACCAATTTTTTGATGTGTCTCAATCTTCAAATTCTTTATCACACACTAGTTCTGCTGGTAGCAGACCTTCTTCTAATTACAATAATCGAGCACAACAGTTAAGTGGTCCACAGAAAGGTACAGCAACTATTCTCTCATATATTACTTAGGGAGTCCCTTTGCTATTCATGTGAAATTTCACAGGCAATTCTTTATCAATTGGCGATGCATGTCATTTAAGCATAAATTTGACAATGATTCTGTTATATCAGATTTATAAATGGGTATGTTTATGATTCTTGGTATATAATTTACCCCCGAGCCGGGGGGGGGGGGGGGGGATAAAAGGATTCAAACTCTTTAACGATTGGGAAACAAATTTCTTCTAAATAGTTTCCTTTTAGTGATCATAAATATTGAGATTATGCAAAGAAGATAGCATTTAAAAATCTCGATAATTGATGTAATACACATCAAAGCATAAGGATGGGAAATTTCACTTGTACGCCGAAATTCCTAATGGAAAACACAGGCGAACAATTTCTTTAATGAAAATATAGTGCGCTCTTACCATAGCATAGTACAAGTCCTAATGCGAAACATCAGCATTGAAACTTGCTCACATAATGAAGCAGTTTAAATTTCACTTGTACGCCGAAATTCCTAATGGAAAACACAGGCGAACAATTTCTTTAACGAAAATGTAGTGTGCTCTTGCCATAGCAATAGTACAAGTCCTAATGTCAAACATCAGCATTGAAACTTGCTCACATAATGAAGCAGTTTAAATTTCACTTGTTCGTCGAAATTCCTAATGAAAAACACAGGCGAACAATTTCTTTAACGAAAATATAGTGCGCTCTTGCCATAGCAATAGTACAAGTCCTAATGCGAAACATCAGCATTGAAACTTGCTCACATAATGAAGCAGTATATTTCGACATAGGTCTACTTTATCTACAATGCTGCATTTTCAGCAGAAGAACTTAAGCTCTTGCATCACTAATTCAGAATTATTCAAAAAAACACATAACCAAAATGATCCCTCGAGTTCTGTTATTAGAAGTTCTATTTAAAAAATAAGAATCTGAATTCATCCTTTAAATCTTAAAATCTTATGTGAAAATTTATTTTTGGTGAACATCAATAACAGCCAAAACTTTTGAGGAGTAAATTATGTATACACTTTTAGTGCAGGTCCATGAATAGCCATTTCTTTGAATGTAGAAAGTTTGTTATGTTACTCATACAAAGAAGCCAACTGCTGCATCCTTGCTGCATCTTGTTCTTAAAGCTAGAACAATATGGAGACCTTATATAGACAAATTGATTAATTGTTCACATAGCAATATTAAACTCCAAATTAGTCGAGCTAAATTAAAGAGCCGAGGCTTGGTTTAGGGAAGCTCATCACACTAGCCTTTCTTTAGTTATGTACAGTCTTATTTATTTTTATTTTTGTTCCTAAATGTTTGGTCTTTCTTTTGTATTGTTAGACTTTCTAGGCTTTATTTGTGATCTGTTATGTCGATATGTATCTAAGGATTATATAATTCTGCAGACCAAATTAGGAAATACTTTAAGGTAGAAACCAATAATAGTTTTATTTTATTGATCTTTTGTATAGTCTATTGTTGTACTTAAATTTTTGAACAGATGGATACCGATAATCCTTTGTAGCTATTGTAAGGTTTATATATCAATGGGTAGTAGAGTACAGGTGTAATGATTTACTGAAGCATCATTTGAATTGAATCTTAAATCAATAAAGTTGAAAAAGACTCAAAAGTTTGAAATTAAATCACATGTTGGTTTGTGTTTGCCTGAAAGTATAATTATTTGGTCTCAGAAAATACTCAAAACTTTGAAATTCTGTGCAAAGAAAAAAAACTCGAATAAAATAAACAAAATCATCTACCCCAAAACTTTGAAAAAAGTTCCTATCATCCGTGATGCTGGTGTTGATGGTGGTTTTAAAGTGTACATGTTGATGTTCATGAGTCTTTTCAAGTGGTAATTGTTTTCCTTGTTTAGATGCGCTTGTTAATTGTTTCTGTTTTCAGTTGTGGTTATTGTTTGTGTCTTTATGTTGATCTTTGGATGTTATTTTGTTTCAAATGTGTTTTGAGCTTATGGGTTGAACTGAAGCTTGTTAGATTGTACAATGTTATTTTCTGTAGCAACTAGAGACATTAACAGTGGAGTTGCTTTATCTTATTAGCTATATAAGAGTGGTTACATTGATAAAGTGCCGCTCAGCACTGAGTGAGCCAGAGTAGAAAAACATGTAACTCAATTCTCTTCTCTTGGCTAACTTTGGATCAAAATGGGGTTATGCCATTGTAGACGTTAGGGATAACTTTAGAATTATTTGTTCAGTTATACAATGGCTTTAGACGTATAAGTATACTCATAAAAATCAGCCAACGCGAGATGAAGAGAGAAGGGGAGGGGATTCTGGAGAAAGGGTTGGCGAGGTGAGGAGGGAGGGTTCTACAGGTTTTTACAGGAAATACATAAGTTAGAGAGAGACTACTGTTGTGTCCTCACAATATTTCTCAAATACTGACAGCTGATTGTTTTTTGGGATCACTCTCTTTCTTCAAGAATCTTGACAGATATCTTCTTTCTTTTCCTTGGCATATCAAGAACAACAATCAAATTGTGGATGTTATATATTGGAAATCTAGTACTCAAGTGTAATGCTTACAACTTACAGAATCATCTTGTAGTTTTGTGTATCTGAAGTTTTGGTAGCAATCAGCTTATACACAAAATCATCAATCACTTCGGTATCCGTATTTTCGCTTCCAGTCTAATATTCAGAAATCTATTCACTTTCCAGAATACATCAAAATAAGGCGACATTGTTTGGTTGCTTGAATCATCAAATGCTTTGCTAAAAACTATCTTTTCTTTGTTTGATCTAAAAGATTCCACCTAAATCCTATTTTAATGTCAAGTTTCTGGTTGATTTGCAAAAAAGATCCTTCAAACATTAATAAGAATAGAGTAACAATCCAGACTATCAAAAAATAGAGAAAAGATGAGTATTAGGGTTTGGATGTGGCAGAGAAATTGGAGAGAGATGAAGTACTTTACAGAGGTGTTTGGCTTCGGGTTGGGTTTAGAAATATTTGGGGAGTTTGTGACTTGGGAAAAGGGTGGAGGTACAATCACATCAGTCCACACCTTCACCCTTGCTCGCTCGCTTCCATGTCATCCTTAATCTCCCTCACCCATAGCCATCCCTCCCTTACCTGAGTCACCTCCCATCCCATCAGAGCAAAGAGGAAGAACTAAAACAGAAACCCCGATGAGGGAAAAAGGAAACAAGAAACATGTACAATGTTGTTCAAATTTTGGGCACCCTTTTGCCAAAAACACCCCTCCCAAAATCGCATTCTTACCTTAAAACTTTAGAAAGGAAGTAATATAAAGAGATATTAAAGTCTATAAACGGATTACAATTTTTTACTCATACAGCTTTTAAACAAGTTGTTTATATAGTTAGTCATGGATGCTATCTCTACGTGACATAGGAGTTAGGACACATTATTTAATATTTTAGTGATTTGCAGTTTCTCTCCTCCTTTGGTGCTTATTGTTTTTTTTCCTTTTGCTATTTTTTTGGCATATACAACTGTGATGAAATTTTAGGTTGTAAACTTCTGTTAAGCTCTCTAGGTGTTTGGAGCTAGCTAACACTTTATCTCCTTTCAACTTTTACTGGTCCGTGTTAGAGTTGTTTGTGGTGGTTCTAAGGCTTTAAGTAATAATTTCTTGTCGTCGACACATAAATGTTTCAACAGAAAAGATTAATTATTTCTTTATAATTTTGCCAATGTACTGCTTATTCCTTGTCTTATGACCCGGACGATCTGAAGTCTACTAATCTGGCTTTTCCAAACTCATCCATCCGCTATGCCTTGCACACTTGCGAATGTGATGTGGTCACACTGTAATCTTGTGTTCTCAAATATCACAGTATTGTTACCACTTCATATTTTATTTATCATACATGGAGGTTTTAATATTCTAGAGATGCTTCAACCCTTCATGAGTATGAGACCTTCAAAGCACTAATGTCATATCATGCTTTTTGTTCAGCGGTTGGTCCTACGAAGGAGTGGAAACCGAAATCAACAAACGTAAAACCTGCTCCAGTGGCTGGAAAAGTTGAAACTACTGCTAAGGAGCATGCATCACAGGAAGCTGTTGAACACTCACTGCCTGTATCAAGCTCTTCATTGGATGAGCCTACTACAAAGCTACAAAACAAGTTCGGGGAGTTGCAGTTTTCAGACACTAAACATGTTATTATCCCAAATCATCTGCGAGTTCCAGAATCTGCAAGAACTGGGTTGAGTTTTGGAAGTTTTGATCCAAATTTTGGGATAACATCAAGTTTTGCAAATGATATTGAAAGTGAGAAAGGCTCTGCTGAACTATCTGACACATCTCAGGAGATTGTGGAGAATGTTGAAGTGCAGACTTCAAGGTAGATATTACTTAAATTTGCTGCCTCATAACTCCAATAATATCATGCAATTCTATCTGTTTGGTTTGTTACATCAAATGCTTTCGACTTCTTTTAGTAGGATATTTATTTTCATTCATGATTTGGTATCATATATGTGAAACAAGCCATGTTAAGATTTTAAGCACGTAATACTTCTGCGATGGGATTTTTTTATAAAAACAAAAGTAGATTTAAGAACACAGATCTAAAAGACAGGGTTTGGGATCCTAGTTATTTTAAAATTATGTACTGATTTTGCATTATTCTGTTTTATCATTCCATGAACTAAATTGTTTCTCTTTGTTTTTATATCTTTATGGCTAGCCCTGTTCTCTTTGCTTAATCTTCTTGTCGAAGATCTTTTGTCTTGTATGACCAATTTGTTCTGTTATTGAGGAATTTTTAACATGTGCTGAATATTATCATCATCACTACAATGTTAAACTAACTTATAGGAGCATGGTTAGTCATGCTCGTAGACTTTGTTACCTAATTCGACAAAACTAGTCTGGGCCCTCTGCCAACCCAGCATACACAACAACTAAATGCATACATGCACACACAAGCCAAAAGCATGCATGCACACACGTACACATGCAAACAATGTGCATGCACACACCATCCTGGCCTGTAGGTATGTAAATCCTGCCCAGTTCACACTTTCAGATTGATGGTGCATTCTGAGTCCGTTTGCCAAGACCAGAGTCAGAAGAACTAATGGAGCAGTAGTACTGTTTAGCTTTTAAAGTTTTAATTATGGAACCCTATTGTTAAGAATCAGATTGTTGATTTTAAAGCTTAGGATTTGGTTTTATGATTTAACTAATTGGAGTTTTAGTCATGTTTCAATCAAACAACTTGCTTTATATATATATATTAAAATTAAAGATGTAAGATTCCATCATGTTAATCCTTAATTTTACGTATCTTAAAGTCTTTATATTAATAAGTCTATGCTGTAAATGTGAATGCTGTTGACACATTCATAATTATCAAAATGACTTGAACAAAAGCTGCCAAGTTTTACCACGATCTGTCCCTAAATAATGATCGTTTGACCATGCCTTTTCATTCTGCGCACAATTCAAATTAGCGGATCTGGTTCTCATACCCATACTGGGAAAGAAAGCAGCATTTTATGTATTTGGTAAACCTGTTCATACATTTTGGCTAGTGAACAATGTTTTTTTAATGTTTTTTATTTGTAGCATATGTGAACGCACAAAGGATTCATTTTGTTTATAGCTATGCTTCCTTATGTTCACTAGTATGCTATACGTGCGTTGCACGTGATGCATATTAAGAAAGTACAATAGTTTAAATATTTGAAGGCTAAGTTATTTTTCACTCACTAAATTTACAATTATTTATTAAATACATTATTCACATAGAATATATGCTAACTGCACATTGCTTGTAGTTTTAAACAATCATCCACTAAATAACTTTTCATGTGCATGGAAATTTCAGACTTCACAATTTTCCCATCAGGACCCGATATCATTTGGCTGGCCTAGATTGTATAAATTGATTTTATGAGAAAAATTTCATTGGTAGTTTGAAAACCTAATCCAATTGCTTCCTCCAATTATACATGTAATACACTTCAATACCATATGTTACAGACTTTCAGAAACAACATGAATCACATACCAAAAACTGTAAATAGCGCCTTTGCTAGCATAAGATCCTAGGAAAAATTTGCCAAAACTTAGTCTTCACATGCATCCCATAGTGAATTTTTGGTAAAACTTGATAGGAGGTTTATAGTCTATAGCCATTCATGAATTTGTAAAAGTGAATCGAAGAAAAAACCCCATCATTAGCACCTGCATACCAGAATGTACAGGTTGTAATACAAGAACAATTATCACGTGTGGTCACCTTCATCCTCATCAATGAACACCCACCATATATGGCCTTTAAGATATCGTGTCAATAAAAATATAGCATCAGAGGGTGAAATACTTGCATTTGGGATGGTAGGACCCTGAAAGCAACGCAAGATTCAAAGCATCATAACTATGTTCTAAATTATAAGTATACCAATGGAACAAACACAACAATTATCTCAGTATACCAATGGAACAAACACAACAATCTCGCTCGAGATAATACACATGTAAGCTATTAAATAAAACAGTTAGAAATTCGTACGAGAGGGAAATGCATGGGACCTAGCCGTCTAGTTCATCATAGCAGTGTATGCTGGCACGTGAACAATGATAATGGTGTAGATATGTCCAATCTATCCTGCAAACAAAAATATTTGTAGCATCTTTCACTCCAATGGAGTTTGGTTAATTCTGAATCTTTTTGTAATTTTGTGAATAATACATGACTGGAATGTGATTGCGATACAAAAATTATGAAAATGTCTAAACTCACGTAGTAAAAGTTCTTTATTGAAATAAAAATTTTAGATTTCACAATTTTCCCATCAGGACCTAATATCATTCCGTAAGCCTACAAATTGTAGAAAATAATATTATGAGCAATTTTTCATTGGCAAATTGGAATCATCAATTTCAATCTTATGGCTAGATAATCCTAACTATTCAAATGCTAATTTCTAATTCTTTATTCTCACTGAACACGTCCAAATATTATCTGACCTACAATTTCTATTTTCTTAAGCATGATAAATAATTAAAATATTGAACAATGAAGAACTATAAAATATTGAAGTAACTATTGTATACATTTCACTGGCAACGTAATATTTGATCATAAACCATTAAGAAAAATAGCATTCAACCTGCAAAAAAAATCCAATTACAGCTTCTGAAAATTTCACTGGCAACGTCTTTTATAGTTCATCCATTACGGTTTCTTGTATGTTAGCAATTCAAAAATCTCTAAATGATTAACTTCATTTTTTAAAATTAAATTCATAATTCGAGCTGATTGAAAATAAGTAATAGAAGACATTCTACACATGATCAGGAACTTTAGTTTATTAAAAGGGAAGTTAAGAAGTAAATTTACCTTGATAGGTAGATTCTCCCACCCTTAACCTCCAAGCGCTACATCAAAATTAGAAGGAGAAATATTAAAAGTATTACCAATAATCATAACTAATCGTAATGTATTATCCAAAGTACCACATTAAAAATCATAAATAATATAAGGAAAATATTAAAAGAATCAATTAAAAAGCTTTTCCTCTTGATCAATTCAAAAAATAAAAAAAACAGATCCAAACCAATTTATCAACTGAATGAAAGAAGGAAAAAATGCACATTCCCCTCTTCATCCGGAAAAATTAAATAAATAACTCACAGAAAATTTTGTAATTGTCGGAGTCCCTCGAATTCCCCTCAATTGCCTTTGCATCAATGTTCAAATGCTCGATTCGGACCTCAATCGCTGGATTATCAATCCTAACCCTAAAAACACCAAAAATTTACCTAATTAATCAAACAAACAGAATAACAAACAACAAACAAACAAAGCTCAATTCAAAATCAAATATTTAACGCTCCATTCGATTTCTAAGCTTTAGCAAGAACCTTTCATTATCCTCTTTCGCAGTCTGTACCTGGAAGCTTAGCCACTCTAATTAGCTTGTTTGGTTCCTGGTCGATGACCTACACCTTCAATTTTCTTATGAGGTGGAGCCCTTCAGGTAAAATCATATTGTAAACTTGTTGTTTATGATAGGCAATTTGTGAAGGCATACATCTATTTACGAAGTTTTTAGCCATAAGATTGTAAGGATTGTATTGGTGGCAAACTTGCCATTATTCTCTTTGCTCCAGCCTAAAGTTTTCTAGCTAATATTTCCTAGTAGTTTGTATTGGTAAGCTGCCAGAATACAAATTCTGATAAGCTACAATGTTCAAAACTGAAATTGTCATCTATTTTTGTTTCTATTTCAAGTACCTTTTTCCTCTTATCAGCTGCTTCTGCAATAACAGTTCTATTTGTGGCAATGGTAGTACCAGAAACGAAGGGCAAAACGCTAGAAGAAATTCAAGCATCACTGAACAAGAAGGAAGACCGATAAAACTCAGATTAATAATTTATTGGAGGGAATTTGATAGCTTGAAATTTGATCATTTATTGGAGTGAATTTGATACCTAGGAATTACAGTCTCCTCAGCCATTGGCACAAGAGATATGTATGGGTTCTGTGCAAGGATGACATGCATAAACACCGGAATGAGTTTTATAGTGTGTTGCTTAGTATAAGAATGCGAGTAGCAAACAGCAAGTGATACACATTACCTCCAATTTATAGAGACTTTCCACATGTTCCTATGTTTAATATAATTCTATCATGTATACCTGCAAGAAGTATATGGAATTTTATGGCACGCAAGAAATAATTAGTTCAAGGGAGCAGCCAAATAAACTCTACATTTGCGACTCTACAGAAAACATAATTCATGCATAATGCTTGTCGATAAGTTGTAAACGAACAATATTTGCTAAAATTTATATCGAAAGAAACAACATGTTTTTTATTTTAATAATTAAAGTACTTTATGTTTAAAACTCCGGAATTCATTTCATGTTTTTTTTAACATAATCATATATAGAAATCGATTGAAAACACAAAGGTTTGTATAAACAAGTCTAAATCTTCATAATTTCATAAAATAAACCCCAATGAACATAATAAAATCATAATTATTACCAAAAAATCCTGGAAGCTTATAAATTTATAGATTTAAACCCAATAAACTTCATAAAACTGAACCTCATAAAATTATATTCACGTGCAAAGATAAAAAAAACTTTAACAAGACTTGCTACACACAGAGGGTCAAGTTAAGTTTAAAAACTATTGTCAGTTTTAAAACTATTGTCGATTTTAAAAATTTAAAGCTAAAGGTGTGAAATATCAAAAGCTCTATGGACTTCCATTTTGTTATAATTGTGTCTTATAACCACTTGTTTTTAGAAGGTTGTGGGATGATCATACCTCTCTGAAATGCAGAAGGCTAACACTTGAGTTAGCTTGTTTATAACTAATTTAAAATTTATTTGCAGAATCTAATATAACTTGGTTTTTGGGTGAATAACATCCATAAAATAGCAATCGGATCAAACTGACAATGAGGATAGGTTGGCAAATTTATTAACTTTAGCAAGTAGTAGTACAAAGACAATGTCTGATTTGCCATGTAAATTGATGCTTAAAGATTTTCAAATAAATTATAATAAATGACTGATAGTTGAATAAATATATGGACAGTTTAACAGTTTTAAGATCCAAGATCTAACAATAATTGGGATATAACAGCTTCAAATGTTCTGATGATGATCAAATAGTTTGACCTTGGCCTTTAAAACTTAAAGCTATGAAATCATCTTTAAGATTGTACAATATCCAAACTCTTAGTGAAATTAACGCTCCTAAACAGTCTAATTTAAGACCAGTAGAATATACAATAAACTCGATATTTTTATGATATAAATGCTTATATTCTGATCAAACATATCTGAAGATATAAGTCGCTGTTTTTCAGATAATTACTTATTTTCAATATACTTGTTATTCACAAATTAATTAATGACTGTTTCACAGTGCCTAATTTACTTCAATGGAGAACATAAATAACAAATTATTTGGGATAATAGAGATAAAATAAAAATTTAATTTACCTTGATAGTTTTCTCCTCCTCCTATCAATCTCAGACCCCTGACATCAACAACCATCAATCCGAAAAAAGGGGAAAAGGTAAGATATTAAGCAACCAACTGAAGATTAAGAATGAGAAATAAGAATAAGGAAGTAAAAGGGGAAAAGGTAAGATATTAAGCAACCAACTGAAGATTAAGAATGAGAAATAAGAATAAGGAAGTAATGATAAATGTTGCTTGATCACCTTTTTGTCAAGATGAATCTACATGTTGTGTCAAACTTTAAACATCAAATTCTAGTAAAATTAGTGGATTAACAGATTTATTGGACAAAAAATTCAATTTTAAACGTGTACCAAGAATAAGTTATCAGTTCCAGTCTTCTTCCTATACAGGTTAAGTGCTTTAATAATCTGCAAAGAAGTGATAGAACCCCAAAATTTGTATGAAAATATAAAAATATCTCAGCAAGTTTAAAAGATAAATATGGAAAAAGGACAACTTAAAGATGCAATCTTGCTCCTTACTAAATTGCTATCATCAAGTGGGATTCCAGGCACATTTGTCGACAAACAATCTCTAGTTTTAGTTGGAGATAAGGAGAATTTGATTGTATCTCCTAAACTAATTACCTGAAATTTAGAAATTGCTGTGAGAATGTATATCATCACAAACCTTTAGTCGTCCCTACAAAATTTTGTAAACCTATTGTAAAGACTCAAATGGAAAAGCCGAAGCCAAATCATGGAACCCATCTTCCCTCTTACCAGTAATCCTCAAAAATACATTAATTGCATCAACAGAAAAAAAACACGAAAGTGAATTTAGTCTGAATTAACATCTCAAATTAAGCCAAAACCTGTGCTCTCAACAGGATTATTACTTTATAATTACCTTACAAGGTGAGAAGAGATTGAGTCTAGAAAGGATAGCATTCTTATCCACTTCATTTGCCAGTCTATTAATCCTGTCCTCTTGCTCGTAAACTATCTAAAAACAAGTGAAATTTATTTTAACTCAAAGTTACCCAAAAAAACAAACTGAATTTAGAGGACATACCTCAAGCTGCCTCCTTCCAGATTCCGATGACCCATAAGCCAGAATCCTACCAAACGGGCTTCTCTTGGATTGGGTCCTGGGACGAAAGGAGAAAGACCCACGTCTGCAAATTGAATGGTGAGCCACTTTCAAGGAGAAATTGATGGGTTTTGCTTCCGTTCTGTCCCTTTATCGGAGGGTTCTTGATTGGAGTTATTGTTCCGGCCGCGGCGAGAGCAGGAAGACGAGGAATCGGGGGCAGAGGCGGAGCTAGGATCCATGCTAGGGTTAAGAGGAGAGGCAGGTGGGGGCGGGTTGGTGGAGAAATGGGGTGTGGCAGGGGAAAGGTCGTATTATATACTGTATAGGATAAAATTAGAATTACAAAATTTGAAAAGGGCAAATTGGGTATGCAAAAGTTTTGACAATGATTTTCTCTTTTAGAAGTAGTATAGATTTGTACACAAACATGCATATTCCCATAGTGCATTGTATGTTTAGTTCTATCTAGTCTTGGGTATAACTAAGTCTAGTGCAGATAAGTTTTTGTGAAGGAACATTCATCATCAAATTCCTATCAAGTAAAAATAAAATTTAAATGCAATGAACACTTTCAAATTTGATATTTCTTTCTGTTCATCCATCTGTAATATAGTAAATGCTAGTAACTGATGTTATGTACGGTGAGCTTCTGATGCAGAATCTGTAGAAGACGTCTACAAGCTGTCTTTTCATATTATTTTAACATAAATCTTCAAATTGGATGATGTAGAAGTTTGCAATCTTTTGTCTATTGGCGTGCTGGTTTTATGTGTTGTAAAATTTGCTTTGTTTCAATAGCTTTTTATGCTGGCTGCAGTGTTCAGATCGTATCACCATCTGTTCAAGAAGTAGAGGTTGTTGACCGTTCCCATTCACCAGAAAAGATGCACGAAAACCTTGCTTCCATTGGTGATTATCCCCAGCCGTCCACAGAGATGCCCGAAAATCTTACATCTGAAGAGCCTGACAGTTCCTCTAGTACCCCTGCACCTCCAGAATTCAATCAATCGAAAGCAGAAGCAGCTCCAAATCTGGAGAGCTCTCAATATTCAGTTGTCCATACTTCACCAACCTATTCAAATTTTGGACTGGTGCCACAAATGCTTGGGAATCAATTTGCAGCCGTTGAAAGTTCCGAGTCTCAGCCACGGGACGCCAATCACATTCCAAGCTTTCTCGTAAGTCTTATCTTTTTATTTTATGTTTGAAGTTTGATTAAAACTCCAATGGTGCATCCTCCTTTTCATTGGAAATAAATCCTTGTCGTACAGCCAACAGAATATTCAGTGTCCCTGTTACACTGAAATCCAAAAATTTTGATGTGAGAAACAATTTCATGTTTAAAGCAACCTGGAAGGAAGAAGAAGAGAGGAAAGATGAAACTCGAGTCGTTTGTTCTCGAACTAGAAAAGTTTCACATAGTAATTCCTCAAAGACTGATGAACAAATAATCTCAGCCTCATATAAGCTTTTGTGGAATAGAAGATACAACCATTAAATGATAAAGGAGACAGATTAACTGGATTATGATAAGATCATGCTGTTCAAACAGTTACTCTTACATTATTTCTTATCTCTGTCCACATGATATTTAAAATGGATCGACAACTCTAATCTCTTTCTGCATAAGATACCTTTAAAAGCACTAAATTTGAAACTTTATACTAACTTTAGAAAAAGTTAATATCATTAATGAATTGTAGTTCATCAGAGAGTAGCGGTAGCCTTCCTCTTCTATCTGCTATTAGATCAACTAGTGTTCATATTGATTGATTTCTGTCAAAACAGTGGCCTTGTAAACTACTATCAAATACTTGCCCCTTCCTTTTCTTAATGTTGATAGCCCTCACTTTGCTTTTTCAGTAAGTAAAACTTTGTTGGTCTTATTAGTTGGTAAGTTAATTTTCAGCATGTAATTTAAACTACTAAAGACTGTCATATGGACATCTTATCAATGTCATGGTGGCTTCCTTAGTTCCAAAAGCAACAAAAGGCTTCTTTGGAAACAGACTGAAATAACTAGTTGCAACTTCACAGCCTGCCAACTTCATATTGGTTGATTTCCGTTAAATTTATTTCTTTTCATAGTTTATACTTTTTTATTTCTGTCAAATTTATTTCTTTTCATTGTGCTCCTAATTACCTGTCATACAGTCAAATTTATTTCTTTTCACTGTTTATACTTCACAGCCTGCCAATTTCATATTGGTTGATTTCTGTAAAACTTAATTTTGTTCTCTTATCTGATACCTGTTATTCAGGTTCAGCAACCATTTGATCCTGCTTCAAGCTATTATAATTCAATATACAGACCTGCTGCTGATGGCGATGGCCGTTTCTCTCCCTTTTTTGCTCCTGCTCCTGCGGCTAAGTACAATGGGAATGTTGCAGTCTTACCTGCACAGACTGGCCAGACACCACAAGAGGTTTGTTCTTCAAATGATATCTCTATCAAACATGCATTTCTGATGCTTCAATATTGTTTTTACACCTACTAGATTTTACCGTATAATGATTCGCAAAGGTGTCTTTTTCTTTTGGTGGGTTGGGGGGAATACTTCTGTATATAAACTTGAAATATACACTGAGTTTTATTAATAAGACAATGTGTTGGTTGAATTTTTTTTCCCTTGTAATGACAGGCATGTTATGCTTCAATATCAACATATTAACCTCAACTTTCAGTGATTCTATTTTTTTCCTCTAGAATCTAATGACTCATAGTATGGAGGTTGGCATTTAGTTTGTAGTTTCCTTGGGGTTTGGTATTGGGCGGTTTGGGTTTATCAATATTTTGTTGGTCGGCTATGGAAAAATAGAACCAGGCCATAAGTTACTGATGTGTTTCAGACTTTTCCTAGACCCGTTAGTTGAAGGTTGTACGCTTAGGTTTCATGTTCCATCTTATCCGGTTAACATCCTTTGTTCTGATATTTGGCTAGCTAAGATGTTGGTTTCCAATTATTTATTCCTATGTTTGTTGTAGTTAATGATGTTCGATCATGGTGCTGTACACGCTAAACTCTTCTCACTTGTTCTTGCTGCAGTAGAAGTTTCCCCTTGATCATGTTTTTAAGACTTTATTATTCGTTGTGCGGATGAAACTGTTTCACATCATTGCTTTTGTCTTGTTTGAGAGTTCATATTATGCTCATCATTTTTGTCATCCAGGGTGGGAATTCTTTGGTTCTATCATCAACCGGTCCAGCACCTCTAGTTACAGCTGGCATGATGCAAACTTCTCTTGCTGTTAGTCAGCAGTCACTTCCTGTTTTTCGGCAGCCTCCTGGTGTACATCTTCCTCATTATGCCCCTAATTACCTTCCGTACAGTCAATATTTCTCGCCATTCTACATTCCATCTCCATCTATGCACCCTTTCTTGAGTAATGCCGCCTTTCCCCAGCAACCTCCAACAGGAAACATATATCCGGCTCCAGGGGCTCCAGGAGCTGCTCCTGTTAAGTACTCCATCTCTCAATACAAGCCTGCATCTAATGCTGCGAATCCAAGTCACATTGGAGTGCCAACTGGATATGGAACATACAATCCTTCTGCTGTGACCAGTAGTAGCTCAACTGGCACTGAGGATCTTGCTTCATCCCAGTACAAAGAGAACAATGTCTACGTTGCTGGGCAGCAGGTACTTAGTTTCCTATTCCCGTTCTTTGGTCCCTTTTACTACCTATCTTGTTAGCTATATGTGATTTATGGCTACAATTCTATTTTCATATATATTTTTTCTGGTGTGAGAATGTCAGAGCATTCTCATTCTGAATTACATATGCTAAAATAGATTGTATTTTCTGTTCTCTTTCCCATGGGAAACTATTGTTTTGCTTTTACTACATCATTGCATTGTAGTTGTAGCCACATAGTTGATCTATTTTACTGCCTGGTTTGCTAGTTATGCTTGATGCAGCCATGTAGGGCAACAATATTCTATTTTCATGCTTTTCCTGGTGCGAGAGTGTAGAGTATTGATTTGTATTTTCTGTTCTCTTTCCCATGGGAACTATTAGTTTACATTTACTACATTGTAGCTTTGTAGTTGTAGCCTGCTAATGTAACATTGTTGTTACATTATCTTCTCATATGGTTTTGAGAAGCATGTTCATTGGTTTTTAGCCTTTTGTTCTAGCAACTGTAGGGGTCCAAAGTTTGCTTTATGCATTACATGATTTATGCATTTATACAACTTTGAAAACTTCACTTTTCTGCATTCTATTGCCAACTCAATATCATTTTTCATTTCAATCTTTGCCTAGCTACATAATAACTTGAGGAGGTTAAATTTACAAATTTTATTGTCTTTATGTTTTTCTCAGCAAGTGTTTCACTCGAATCTGCAAACTTTTAGTTTATGTATTTAAGTGAGGAAACTTTGAATTGGTGGCACAACTGTGTTCAAATTTTCTCTAGATAATTAAAACTGTATTAATAATACTGATTTATCTTTAAACAGTTGATGCTGTTAATTCCATAAATTGATAAATCTTTTCATTGAAATATCCATCTTTTTTGCCCAAAATTTGCATATTTTCTGTTAATTGAGATAGTTGGTTCCATCTTTTTGCCCAAAATTTGCATATTTTCTGTTAATTGAGATAGTTGGTTGTAGGAAATTTAATTAACTAAACATGATGCATAATTCTCTATCATTTTCTATGAAATGGAGTGGAGGAATTTGCTAATTGTAGGATTTAAGGAGTCAACGTAACATACGTTTTCTATAGAAGACCAATAAATTGTATAGTGAAGTTCTGTATTGGCCTTTCTTGATACGTGCAACTTTGCTTAGAATATTATCTCAAACAGAAAACCGAATTAATTTGTACAGCGAAAAAGCCAGCCTGTTTAAGAAAGAAAACATTATATTTAACTGGAGGTTGTTTACCCTCTTTGAAGACTTAACAAGTTAATGTTCTCACACCACCAGCTGCTTCAATTTTGGAAAAATTAGTCTGGATCCTTGAGACACTCAAGTCTGGTGATTTTGCAAATTGTTAGATTTATGATATTTTTGTCCTTTAAATTATGCAATCAGAACCTTAACCCTTTTTGCTCATTGGTCATCTATTATATTTTCATAATTTTCCTACTGTCATGTTCTATTCTTTCGTTCACAATTTTCTGAGTTACTTAAAAAAACATAGATCACATTTTCTCATGCAGTCTTAAAATAGATATCTTTTATATGTATTAGTGAACGAATTTTAGGACAAAATAACCAAATACCCCATAAGTATTGGTTCACTCTCAACTGCCCCCCTATAGTATCAATTTATTTGATTTCACCATTAAACTATGTTTATTGGGCCAATGTGGTCATTTTTTAGCTCACAGTCAAATAATCAACAGATCGATAACGTGATAGTGTTTTTCTTGCATTTCTTGTATTTTCGCCAATTCAAAAAATGATTTTTTAATCCCAAGAAAGGGGTAAAGGATAAATAACTTTAGGGGAAACTACTTGGGATTTTTTTTGGTTTGGGGGGAGAGGAAATAGACAGATAAAAACCCATGAAGAAATGCCAAAAATACTGTCACATTATCTGTCTGTTAAATATTTGATTGTGGGCTCACAGAATGGTCATGTTGAGACCATAAACATAGTTTAAGGGGAAAGTAGGTAAATTGATACTTTAGGGTGGATGTCGAGAGTTCATCGTTACTTTAAGGGGGAATTGGTTATTTTATCCCAAATTTCATGAACCATGCACATTTCACGGCTTATTGGTGAAAAATTCTCAGTTTACTGATGCAATAACCGATAAACTATTTACTAATCTTCTAGTTGCCTTGTTAATATGCCTTCTCTATCAAACGTAATTTTTTCCCTTGAAATACATGTCTGCATAATGATATAATCCTATATGTTACTTCTATTCGTCTTTCCTACCTCATTTTCCCTCACCTGTTTATTACCGACCTATTATAGTGATAAAAAAGGGGTTAAATACAGATAGACCCCTGTACTATAACCCAATTGTGGCTAGCCCTCTTATAGTTCTATTGTTGCAGATAGACCTCTGAGTGAATTTTTACTCTTTTGCCCTCAGGAGGTCTCTTTGTCAAAAAAACAAATTTCTCTTTTTCTGAGGGTACAAGAGTCAAAAATTCAATCAGAGGGTTTATTTGCAAAATTTGAGCTATAGGAGTCTATCCACAACTGGGTGATAGTGCAGGATCTGGTCCGAAATTAACCCCAAAATCTGTCAATTTTGGCCTACTACTGTGTCTTAATGTGCAAATTACTCTCAGGGTGAGGGTTCTGTTTGGATTCCTACACCAGGAAGAGACATTCCAGCCATGCAAGCTACTTCATTCTACAATCTCCCTACTCAGGGCCAACACTTAGCTTTCCCTGGAATTTACCACCATCCTGCTCAGGCTGTTGCAGCTGGCGCTGGCCATCCAATGCTCCAGCAGTCCCAGGCGATGTCTGGAGCTGTCGAAATGGTGGGCCCTCCTTCTGGAGTCTACCAACAGCCCCAGCGTACTCAGATAAATTGGGTCAATAATTATTGAGCTTAGAGCTACTTCGTATCAAAGATCTTAGAGGCTATATTGTGTGGATCTTGGCATGAAGAGTATGGAGGTTGGCCTGACAAGAGTGTATATATTTAAGGGATGGCCAGAAAGTTTAGAAGGGAAAGATTCAGGAGACCCATCTGTGACTTATAATTAACAATTGATAAGTTAGTTGAGGAGGTATGCGCAGGTCCATAGACTTTGTTTTGCTGCTGTTCCTTTTATTTTGTGTTACTTTTTTCGCTAGCCATCGTAAGTTAATATGGGTGGAATTTTTTATATCTTTAACCGGTAAATCTTCTTTCATCCTTTTTGGTAGAGGTTCATACAAAACTATGGAAGGTAATATTTTAAGTTGGTGGGTTTTCATGGTTTCCACTACCTTCCTTGTAAAGTGAATTTTGATAGTAAGAATTGTATTACAAACAATTGTACTTTGGTGTAATAGCAACATCGGCTCATTCTTCCCCTTCTCTTTAATCTTTATCATAATGGTGCAGAGGTTTCTTGAAGCTTCTGGTTCTTTTTCTTCTTTTATCTTCACGTGTGTTACTCTCTAGTATTACTTATTTTGAACTGGGTCATTATTGCCATGCTAAATTATATGAATTCTTTTATTCTGGTACCTTTTCTTCTTTTACTTGGCAAAGTTTGTAGACTTATTTTGTCAGTCATTATGACTATCAGTGAATTAGTTTTGAACATGTTATATTTATCACAAGTCTGAACTTTCCCCTAAGTCAATTACAGTGAGCAGTTTTAATTGTGTGATATACTGCTGTCATTAGATCTTTCTTCTCTCATGGTCATCAGATTTCTTAATGTTAAAGTAGCATTCTGTTGGAGTTGACCAGAGAATTTTGGTTATAGTAACTGTATGTCTATATTTTTTGCTTCCTGTTGAAAACCCAGCTGGATATAAATTTTTGGCCACAGCTGTGTTGAATCGTTATGTGCAATGAATCCCTTGGATAAATATCAAAATAGAAATATCAAAATAGGAAGTGTCCTTTTTGGTAGGACAATCAGATTTTTAATGAATTGGGGGTGTACATTTGGGGTCTTCTTGTCTTGTATATAAGCTTGTTCAAGTGCTAGGAATGCTAATATCCCAGAAATTCCTAGCACTGCGTTGTCGCCTTTGTCTGTAGCTCGAGTGGTGCTCTCTTCTTGCTTGGTGGTTTCTTTTTGTATGCCATGTTTATGAGATCTTTATTGTGTTTGAAATTGCTGATTGTGTCTTTTCATTGTGGCATAATGAAATTTTGCGTAATTTTTATAGGGTTCTTTTTCCCTGGACGACATCATTTCTTTAAAATACCAAAAACACCATAGTATTGGTATGCGTGGAGAACGTTTTATTTATATTTTTGCATTTACGCATGCGGTATCTCTATATTTTCTTTCTATATGTTTCATTGTTTTCCTCGGAATACAGAAAAGTTCAGCGGTGTCGTATATCCGGAAGGCAGTGCAGTTCATATTTTGCGTTTGAATACATGGCATCTTTAACATCTCGCAGTGCTATATCTTTTTTATTATTATAAAAAATAAAAAAATACATAGTATCTTTTATATCTTCTGTTTTAGTGCTTAGAAGTCTCTTTATTTACGTATGTATTGTTACTTTTTCCTAATGCACTCGTAGTGGGAACCGGATGGCCTTGGGCTGTTTCATTTGAAGAGATCAGCATATGGTTTGCATTTGAATTACCTTGTTCCTCTGCTTCTATCTTAAAACCAGAGGGATGGTAGTTTATGATAAATCCGAGGAATGGTAGTTATTATATGATCCTATTCTACCTGAGATCCTCCAGCATAAAAATAAATTTCTGTGCAAGTGTTACTTGCATTCTTCCAAGTTGTGACTGCAAGTTGTGACCGCTCCGTTGTATGCACGTGGATTACCTCTCTAGCGTATCACTGAGTTAAAATTTGCCTGTTTGGCAAAATTTCAGACTAGATGTAAAGATTGAAAGTTATATATAATCAATGTAAGCTGGAGGTATGCATGAGTCCTGTTAAAATAAAACTTGTACGCTCATGAATCTTCAAAAGATTAGAGAAATATGAACCGGTTGCGTTCATCGCTAGGAGCATGCATATCAACTTGACATTTCCTTCTCTATGTCTTCACCTTGATACAAATTTTCTGAATAGATGTCTTACAATGTAATTTTCCTTGTGAACTCTTTTACAATGAATCCAACTGTCTTACAGGCTCTATGGATTAAAGGAAAGAAAGAAAAAAAAAAAGAATCCAACTTCTGTCAGTCAAAAACCGGACAACCTTCAACCTTGATCCCTGGCGCAGTAGGACAACTTGCTAACAAACAATGATCATCAACTTCCAATCCCCACCAAGAAATCCCATTAACATCCTTAAACTGCAGAGCAAAATATGTCAATATGGCCATAAAAGCCACTCCTGCATCCAAACCAGCTGATAAAACATAATTATGCCTTGCCCACCACCCTTTATACCTCCTATACACAACAAAGTTGAAGACAATCCCCACAATGAACCACATTGTATAGTTCACTGCCCTTGCAGGAGGCATTGAGCCCGCAGCTCCTAAGATTATCGGCATGTTTATGAGTTTTATCCAATTTTTCTCCGGATAAAGGCGAGATAAGAGCCATACTGGAATTGGAGCAAGAAACCCCAACAGGAAAAAGTAGTTTGTGGTTTCGTAGAGACCGAGTTTTCCAAACATTCGAATAGGTGCAACTACTCCCCATATGATCGACGCACTGTAGAATACTTGATCACCGGGGCATGTCCATGGACTTCCCTCTGGTAGTTTTGAGGGATCACATATGTTTTTTACTGTTTCAAGGAGCCACCATGCCGTACCGAATGTTACTGAGGATGCGACGATTGTTCCTATTAGCTGCAAATTTGCCAATAATGCGTAGATAAGAATGAAAGTGAACTAATATATCACACCTATTTGAAGGCTTTTGGGCGAGTTTGTCAAATTCTTTTAGGAGTTGTTGTGCTTCCTAAAACTCTGTAACTTAAAGCAACCTACCTTTTTTGATAGAATGATCTAACCTCCAATTTCTTGGTTTAATCTACAGTTATAGTGGGTTACTTGTAACTAAACAGTGTTCAGGTTAACCAAAAGCATGACAACAAATTTTTTTTTTGCATAAAACCTCTCACTGTGATCTCCTATACGCAGCAAAACAGCACAGTTACATGGTGCTTGTTGATAATTTAGAATGAAGGGAAATGTAGTTCACCTGGACAATGAACATAGACTTAGGTGGAATCTTCATATAATGTCCCAACTTGAAATCTCCAAGAAATGTTAGAGCTTGAGTCATGCTGATATACCCATAAGTCTTGAATGCTACATTTGCAAGAGGCCTCCCAGGATACATATAACCAATGATCATCTCTGTGAGCACGTTCAGTCCTGGTTGCTGAACACAATTCACTCACTTAAAATTATTCCCTAGAAAAACTTTAAAAAACTTTCCTATGTCAAAATTTGGGTATTGAAGATGACATACTTGATTTGTTGTTGCTGTGATAATACCAATTGGGAGAGTGAAGATGAGAGCTAAACCAGCTGCCAGTAGTACTCCCCAGTATGGAAGTTGTAGTTGTTTCCCGAAGCCTTCACACGTGAAGATCGAAAGTGCAATCATCGAAACTAAGATTGCATGGAACCACCATTCGGGGACTGATTCATAATTTTTCTTCATCACCCTTGTGTGTATATCGCCGATTTCATCCTGGAATGCTGCTTTTGTTTGTCTCCATATTTCCCTGGGGGGAAAATGGTAAAAAAGTGCAGTTTCAGAATAATGATCCAGAATTGTAATAGAATTTAAATCCGAATAATGATGAATAACACAACGAAACTTACTTTCCATAGAAAAGTCCAACATGAGACAGCGAAGCAGCGAGCGTAGCAAAACTCAAACCATAAGTTATCAGAAAGAAAATGCTCAAATTAATCTGCCCAATTTGATCGTACCCTTCTTGATTAAACTCAAATGTCTTTGGATTCAACACTTGATTCACATCATATCGACTCCCATTAGACATAAACAACTGTGATGAGAGTATTGGAAACCTCTTGGCTTCAAATGCATTAGTCCAATAAGCAACTGGAACGACTAAATATGCAGTTACAATAAATCCAACCAATATGTTGATTATTGCAAACCCTGGGGTTGCCAATGGGCTTCCGAGAAATCCTGCAACTGTTGACCAATCTAGGCCAAACGAACCGATGCCAAGGCCATAAGAACCTGAACCAATTTGTTGCATTGTGATTGAGTGTTTCCAGATCCAGCAGACAAAGGAGAGGGCAGTTATTGAAGGGAAGAGGTAGTTGGGGACAATGTAGTATGCAAAGCTTGAGATGAAGACTGTGATGAAGAATTGGAGCCTTGTCATTCCTCCTTTTGGCCGCTTCTCGTCCTCATGCATTGCCCTATTACGCATTTGCACGAACAAGGTGTCAAGAAAACCGAAAATATAGACAAAATAAATAATATATATATATAAATATATATATTATATATATATATATATATATATATATATATATATATATACTATATATATTAATATATATAATATATATATATATATTATATATATATATATAGGGGTTCGGGGATATGTTGCCTGTAAATGAGTAAATTTGACAACCCCCCCCCCCCCCACCCCCCCACCTCCCACCCCCCAACCCCCCGCGGCCTAAGGTATATTTCAGTTATTTGGCAATCACAGGGGAGGCAATCCGGCCCAGAAAAGTTCAACCCTATATCATCTACTTATCAATGCAAAGAGGGATCCAAATTAATGTTTTTATTTACTCTTGTTAATGATAGAAAGAAACCTGAAAAGAGAGACTTGCACTAGGTTTGAAGGCCACCACATATAAGGGGAATCAACCAGGAACTTTCTAAAGATACCAGCCCATCCATATCCCATCATCTGCAAAATTCCATCAACATTACAAAGATTAACTAATCCATCAATTTATCATCATTTATCCAACAGAAATACGCCTTGTTCTTTATATTCACTCACCTGCGTAGTCTGAGTGAGTAACATAGCTGCCAGGGGATGCAACTTTCTATGATAAAAAGCCTTAACGATAGTAATGATATTAACAGCATAAGCTCCATTGGAGCCTGCATTGGCGAATATCGTGATCAAAACATGCTCTTTCAAATTGAAAGGCCCAGGGTTCAACGAGAAAGAAAAATTCACGACCGGGATGTGAATTTGAGTAGAAGGAAGCCATGCTGCCATCAATTTTCCAATAGGTAGAACTGCAATCTGTGCTGAGACTGAAGATATATATAGAGCATTTTGCCGATAGCCAAAGAATTGATTTAAGAAGGCGAGAAGAGTGCAGGATGTAATTCCTAATACCCATGTTCGAAATGTTAAGGCTGGTAAGCTCGGGTCATCTGTAATTGGTACTGTAAGTCTAACTTGCTCAATTGGAGAATCATTCATTATATCTGCACATAAATACTTAGATCAAAATTCAACATTATATGTTTTCATCTCTAAGCGCAAAACGCAACCAAGAATATTTACCTGATCTCTCTGATTCATTGTCATCATAACCCATGTCTATGAGTTTGTTTCAGCCTCAAGCTCAAGGTATCTTTTACATTCTCTTCTAGCTAATGTGCATTTATTGGATGCAAGATTCAATTGAAATATTATTGTATTAGATCATGCATAAGGACATCTTGCGTTCTCGTGGAGCTACCTTATATCTAATGTAGCTTTCTTGAATGCAAGATTCGAATGAAATATTATTGTATTGGATCATGCATAAGGACGTCCACTTGAAGACAGAGATGCTTCTTTCTTTCTTTTTTTCTTTCTTTTTGGGTCTCAGTTCATTTGTGGATGATGGCACAAGCACCAAGCAATGTGAATACAAGATAAATTGTGCAGTGCGCTGCAAAAATCAATTCTTTTCTTCTCTACTTGCAAAAGCTGTGTGTTTGAGACTTGGGGATATACAGATCAATTGTTGTCAGATAAGCCAACTTGATGTATGTATACTTTTTTTTTAATTTTTCTTGCGGAATTATTGTCGAAAAATACAAGTACAGGTTGACCATAGAGATACTGAAATTGAACCATGAATTTAACAGTAAGATAGAGATATTCACTTTAGTAAAGAGGAGAAGGGAATCTGTAGTTAATGCTGCTGGACTTTTGGGCATGTGCAATTAATTGTTTAAATATCGTCTATTTCTTAAATATACAATGTTACCTATTTTAAAGTACAAGTTGTGATTCTTATCATTTGTTCTTTTAAAAGTTTATATCAGAGTAATACAATTTATACATACTAAATTAATCAGAAACAACCTGTACAATGTGGGTATCATTCTAATGTTTGCTCCCTTGATCTTAAATGCAAATACAGTGTAACGGATAAGCATTTTGGCTTTTCTGCTCCCAAAAGAAATAAATTGATTTTGTTAAAATAGGATTGTGAAAGACTAATTACTATTGGAGCAAGTGGAATCTTGAATTTTGAGAGAGCACATGGAGAGCTAGCTAATACTCAGATGGAGAATCATATATTCAAGGCTAAAATTTGAAAGGATACCACAAAGTCTCGGCCTTCTTTAAAACAATAGCATAAGCTTTGCTGTTTTTTTTTTAAAATCATACATGTTACCGTGATACTAAATTTTTCTTGCATATATCCTTATTTTAAATCCAAGGTGTCGACTTTTTGGCTTGAATCCAAAATAGGTGGGACCCATTTCAAATCTCTTTGATATCAATTTTTTATTGTAGAATGACAGCAGACCCTTATTTTTGGGCAAAGAATCAAAGAAGGATTTGATTAGATTGGGGTCACTCTCACTTGTGGGCGCGTCCTCCTAATTAATCATCCTCTCTTGTCTTCTCGGTGAGAGTTTTACAATACCTGAGATAGAAAGCTAAAATATAAAAGCTCTCAAAATTCTGTAAAGGAGAGGAAACTAAGAGAGAAATAAAGTGAGGCCCCCTCTTGTCGTGGACGTAGATCAATTTGGTCGAACCACGTAAATATTATGTGTTTGTGATTATCTCTCTATTTTCTGGTTTTGTGTTTAGTGTGTTATTTTGGTACATTTGATCGCTGAGGGTTTCTTAACTCAACAAATTGGTATCAGAGCTTCTCGGTTCTAGGACAGCTTTCAATCCTCCACAATGGCTTCAGTGAAGTTCTTGGTGTCAATCTTCGATGGCCAGAACAATTTCGGCCTATGGAGGATAAAGATGAAGGCTTTGTTGCGACATGAAGGCACGGTTAAAGCTATCGATGGGAAATACCCAGAAGATATGACTAATGCCGAGATCGAAGAGATTGACGAAAAGGCTCACATCGCCTTGCAATTGTCACTATCCGACAATGTGCTTCGTGAAGTTGCCGATGAGGAAACGACAGCGGGGTTATGGTCAAGCTCGAAAGTCTCTACTTGAAAAAATCTCTTACTACGAGATTATACCTGAAGCAGCGGCTATACACATTGAAGATGAAGGAAGGTACACCCATTCAGGAATACCTTGATGAATTTAATAAAATTTTCATGGATATGAAAAACCTGGATCTCAAGCTTGATGATGAAGATCAGGCTCTCATTGTGTTGTGTTCCTTGCGTGACTCTTATGAAAACTTTGTTAACTCTATGTTGTATGGAAGAGAATCCATAAATCTTAAGGATGTGAATGCCTCTTTGAATTCTGCTGAGTTAAGAACAAAGTTGAATGAGAGGGGTACCGATAGGCAGACTGATGGTCTGCTAGCTAGAGGTAGAACAAAAACCAGAGAGGGTGATAAAGGGCAATCCAGAAATCGTTCAAAGTCCAGGTCAGCCCAAAACAAGAAACATGTGAAGTGTTTCTACTGTCACAAGAAAGGACATTACAAGTCAAAATGCTATGCTCTAAAGAAGAAAGACAACCAGCGTGGTGAAACCTCAGATTCAACTAATACGACAAAGGCTGATACTGCCGTTGTTGCCGAGATGGTTCTTGCAGTTTGTTCCTTGGATGACCGTTCTGATAGAGAATGGATCTTGGATACGGGTGCGTCTTATCATATGTGTCCAAATAAATATTGGTTCACTACTTATAAATCTATAAGTGGTGGATCAGTTTTGATGGGCAACAATGCAATTTGTAAGACAGTTAGCATTGGTACAGTTCGCATCCAGTATCACGATGGGATAGTGAGAACTTTATCAGATGTGAGACACATCCTAGACTTAAAGAAAAATCTGATTTCTTTGAGTTCTTTGGATTCTATTGGGTGTTCTTACACTGGTAGAGGTGGAGGTTTTAGAGTTACTAAGGATTAATTGGTTGTGATGAAAGGTAGTAAGGTGAACATTCTTTATGTTCTCTAAGGTAGTACGGTGACAGGCTCTGCAGGTGTATCCTCTGATGCTGATAGGGACACTATTCAGTTGTGGCATATGCTCTTAGGCCACATGAGTGAGAAGGGGATGACTATTTTGAGTAAACGTGGCTTACTCTGTGGTGACCATACATGACTATTTTGAGTAAACGTGGCTTACTCTGTGGTGACCATACATCATCACTTGATTTCTGTGAGCATTGTGTGTTTGGGAAGCAAACCTCTGTGGTGACCATACATCATCACTTGATTTCTGTGAGCATTGTGTGTTTGGGAAGCAAACTCGGGTCAATTTCTCGACTGGCTCACATACGACGAAGAACACTATCGACTACATCCATTCAGATTTTTAGGGACCTGTTCTGGTTCCATCCAAAGGTGGTGCTCTTTATATTCTGACGTTTATTGATGATTTTTCTAGGAAAGTTTGGGTATACTTTCTCAGGCGAAAAAGTGAGGTGTTCGAAACTTTCAAGAAGTGAAAAGTACTTGTTAAAAATCAAACTGAAAAAAAGATTAAACGTCTCCGAACAGATAATGACCTAGAGTTATGCAGTGGAGAGTTCAATTAGTTCTGCTCAAATTCTGGGATCGTACGACATCGCACGGCCAGACACACTCCTCAGCAAAACGGAGTGGCAGAACCTATGAATAGAACGTTGACGGAGAGATCTAGGTGTATGCTCTCAAACTCTGGGTTGGATAAAAACTTCTGGGCTGAAGCTATTAAGACAGCTTGTTACTTGGTGAACCGGTCTCCTTCTACCGCCATTGAACATAAGATTCCAAATGAGGTATGGTCAGGTAAACCAAATGACTATTCAAATTTAAAAGTATTTGGATGCCCCACTTACTATCATGTTAGAGAGGGTAAGCTTGAGCCTAGAGCTAAGAAATGCATATTTATTGGTTATGTTGACGGCGTTAAAGGCTATCGTTTGTGGAGTCTTGAACCTGATTCTCCTAAATTTATTATTAGTAGAGATGTTACTTTTAATAAAAGATATATGCTTGATCATGGGAAGGTTTCTGTTGAGTCTACAGGAAATGTAGAAAAGATCATGGATAAGGTGGAGCTTCAGGTGGAGCTCGAGGGAAAGACTTCTCAAAAGTCATCTATAAAAATTGCTCCTACAGTTGTAAAAGAGCAACATGATTCAGGCTCAGATGATGATGATGCTGAGACTGAAGAACCTTATTTCATAGTCACTGGCAGAGAGAGGAGAAAAATCAGACCTCCTCAAAGATATGCACATGCTGAATTAGTGGCGTATGCTCTCACGACAGCTGAAGAGATATGTATTCAAGATCCATCGAACTTTACTGAAACTGTCTCATGCGGAGAATCTGGATGTTGGGCCACGGCTATGACAGAAGAACTTGAGTCACTTTATAAGAATCAGACTTGAAATTTGGTGCAATTACCTAAGGGTAAAAGGGCAATTGGATGCAAGTGTATTTTCAAGAAGAAAGAAGGGATCCCTGGGGTTGAAGATGCTAGATTCAAAGCATGGTTGGTGGCTAAGAGTTATAGACAAAAGGAGGGAATTGACTATAATGAAGTGTTTTCTCTGGTTGTGAAGCATACCTCCATCCGTGTATTGCTTACCATGGTTGCTCTATTTGATCTGGAGCTTGAGCACGGTTGTGAAGCATACCTCCATCCGTGTATTGCTTACCATGGTTGCTCTATTTGATCTGGAGCTTGAGCAGCTTGATGTGAAGACTGCATTTTTACATATTGCTTACCATGGTTGCTCTATTTGATCTGGAGCTTGAGCAGCTTGATGTGAAGACTGCATTTTTACATAGCGAACTTGAGGAGACTATCTACATGTCTCAGCCAGAGGGATACTTCGTAGAAGATAAAGAAGATCTAGTTTGCAGATTGAAGAAATCTTTGTATGGCCTGAAGCAATCTCCCAGACAGTGGTACAAGAGGTTTGATAATTTTATGCATAGTTATGGGTACTCAAGAAGTACTTATGATAGTTGTGTGTACTACAAGCATCTAGGAGATGATACTTTTATTCATCTTCTATTATATGTCGATGACATGCTTATTGCTGCTAAGAACATGTCACAGATTCTTATTTTGAAGAAACAACTTAGTGATGAGTTTGAGATGAAAGATCTTGGTGCAGCAAAGAAGATCTTAGGTATGGAGATCAGGAGAGACAGGAAAGCTAGAACATTATATCTCTCACAGAAGAGTTATATTGAAAAGGTGCTTGAACGCTTTGGGATGAAGAGGGCCAAGCCCGTTACGAC